TTGAAAGCAGCCAAAAGTTACAATTGTCAACCTGGCCACATCTCACAAAATAACTCTTGAGGCTAGATTTGACATCTGACTCAGTTTGGTACCCTCGTAAATATGGACACTGTGTGGGGGAGAAATGTTCCAGGTTCCCACTGATTTACAATACACAAGATTCTTGAAACTCAGAACTGGCTCTGGTGACCTGGTGCCTCGTTTTACTAGATACAATTTACACAGGGCACTCACATCAAGGCCAAACCTTCAGGTTTATAAACTGAGAGGCAAGGCATTGAGAGGTCACTTTGAACACTTGATCGTCTTCGGTTTTGTGAAAAAATGTAAAATAAGATCATTTACAAGACTAATGGGCTAGGCTAGTCCTACATGTCAGATCAGGATCTGACGAGCTTAAAGCCATGCCCTGTGTTGATGATGTGTGGGGGCAGCCATTTCATCTTCCAGCGCTTCAAGCAATTCCAGCACTGGAAGCAGTAGCCAAACAGGTCCAGCGTGCTGGCGATCCTGAGGACCCTGATCAGAGGGTGGGTCAGGCGGGGGAAGCCCTGTTGCCAGTGCAGCTCGATGTCCTCCTCGGTGGGCCGGTGGAACTCGAATTCAACCCAGGGCCGCGAGACAGCGTAGACGGCCCGGATCTTGCGGCCTTGCTCTTTCCAGGTCCCCGCAGTAGCACCTTGCTGCTCTTGCTCCTCCAGCGGTGTGCAGTTGTAGTCTACCCATTCGTGGGTGAAGTCCCCCACCATGGCTTGGCCAGCCCCGGTCTCCGGGTCTGTGCCGGTGTTGCTGGACTTGTCCAGGATGCAGGTCTGCATGGCCAGAATGTGGCTGGTGTTTCGGCCGATATGCTTGAACCAGCCTGACATGCTGTTAGTGTCCTGGATCAGGATAAGACGAGACTGGGAGTCCTTGAGACCAGCTTCTTCCCACAGCTAAATGAGGGTCTCAAATTTAAAGATGCCATTGTCTAAAGATACAAAAATACAACCGCGATTAGCACCGATGACTTTCACCTGATGCCTATCTTAATAATTCAGCTCCACCTTCAAATTAGTAAGATTCAAAGTGAGTCCAAGTCTGTAGTTGGTCTTGGCACTGTTTTGACCCAACATTCCAAATGAACATTTTTTACATGACAATTTCTTTTACTCTGTATTACCACAGAGACATTTGCTATAAGAAAAAGCTCTGTACAGTGGTCAACTTCAACAATCATCCTCCATAGACGTCTCACTGTTTCAGACTGGAGGTGTATACAAGTTTACCTGCAGAAACTTGGAAACACTCAATGGTTTAACCCATTAGCTGGCCCTATAAATCTAGATTAAAACCCTAACCCCCTAGGGACCATAAAAATCCTGCATAACCTTGTTGGGTTCAACACGGTTAGGGCAGATCCTGTTAATACATATGCTGTGACATGTACTGGTTAAGCAGCTCTGTCAGAATAGGGGAGAACGCCCCAAACTCCTCCCCTCTCTAGACCCACCCTCGTGACAAATCAGTCCTGACATCCTCCCTACCCCTCACAAAATTACCTGCCAGAGCCCAGTCCCCGTTTGGGTGCACGTGGCCGCTGTAGTACACCAGGTAGGTGTCGAACCGTGGACCATCCGGCATCTCGCGGGCAAAGAAGGACCGCATCTTGGTCAGTAAGGTGGCCAGGGCCAGCCCGCTGGTGGAGAAGTCGCAGCTGAAGACCTCAATCATGTGGTGAAGGAAGAAGCGCTGCATGGTGTTGAGGAGACTGATGGAGCGGCTGTTAACTTCTTCCATGCTGGTGGCCGGGATTAGAACCGGAGACCCGTCCGTTCTGTGTCAGGTAGAGAATTTAAAGAAGCAGAAAAGTGCAAGCAAACACAAATGCCTCCCGATCGTGACTAGTTTCCACAACATGACACCACTCTCATGACATCAAAGTTTCAAATTGAGATGCATGACTTCTTCCCAGCTTTTCTGAAAAAAATTTACTGACAACCATTATCACATTGACCCTTGACTAAAGTGCAAAATCAAGAGGCTTTTAAAGGACACCAACACCAACCCACATACCAGGTCAGAACTTGACACGTCAAGTCCTCCTTTAGTTGTGGTCAGAAAAACAAATGTTTATTGTTTTAGAAACCATAATGATCTTTGTCATTTAAACTACGCATATGGGGGTCCAAAATCACATGGCTTCTAGAGAACACCAGAAGTGACATTCACGTACATGTATGTACATGTACATGTCAAGACCAAAGTTCAAACCTTTCTCAAGTTAGTTGAAAAATAATTTCCATTGTTTGTAAAGGTCCATGCAATGTACAGTAACTGTTTTTACAATTTTTGAAAATGCATCTTTGTGTTTAATAATTGTTTTTCAGTTTTGCAATTTTACAGGTATTTGGCACATTTGTAAAAATCTTCCGGTGAAACACTACATGTACATTACAATGATTTGTATGTGCTGTTATTTTTCATACGTAATGTTGGGGTCCTTATTTTCAACTTTCAACTATTTTTTTTATTTGATTGAATGACTGAAGTAGAAACTAACTTCCATGCCTGAAAAGCTCACCAAATAAGGAATACGTAATAACTTCTAGATGTGGAAGTTGTGCAATAGGTATTTTTTTCTTCACACAGACAGACAAGCTGCCAAAATGTAATTATTTCAGATGAGACACACCTGCAAAAGGCTGAGGGGCCCACTATGGCATAACCTGTACATGTCCCTCCTAGGGTGCTACCTAGTTCGTACAGCAGGCCATGCACCATGCTCTCAATGGGCAGCACCACCAGCCAGCTAGCCATGAAGGCAGCATTGTCGTCCTGCCATGACACTCCACCCAGCATCAGTGTGGTGGCGAAGGCAGTCAGCACCAGGTTGCGGGAGATCAGGGCGAAGAAGCGTATGCCCCGGGCAGCCATGACCCCGCCCAGGCTCCGGTTGGACTGGCGCGGCAGGCTGCGGTAGGCCCGGATGCACTCCGTCAGCTTGTTGGTCAGGGTCCAGTTGGTCACCGCCAGGACGACGTGCAGGCAGACCCACAGGAACCCGAAGACCACGTAGGCCGGCACAGCAAAGTACCACTCCTTGTGGGACACGGTGGACTCACCAGCCAGCGTAAAGAAAACGATCTCAAAGGCCAGGATCAGGAGGAGGAAAGTCTTGCGGAGCCAACGGTGGGTGCTGAACACAACATCCCAACGCTCCATGGTAGACAGGCTGTTGAAGTACAGATCAAACAGTGGGTCGGTGAAGAGGCGAACCGCCAGGCAAATCAGTGCAAACATATTGAAATACAGATTGAGGGAGTTAAAGAACGACGTTACTGATATAGCGACAAATGTCACCAGGCAAGGGAGGGCAAGGAACGTTTTAAGCCGGAGTGTCATCAGCGTGAAAGCGCACGCGAAGACCATGAGCCACATGGAAAACAGGGCCTGGGTGCGAAGCGTGCATGCCACCGCAAACCCCAGCAACTCGAACGTCTCAACGTGGGTCAGGAGCTGGGAGGTATACGCGACCAGACCACACGTCCGCTGCAACAGCGACCAGAAGACCTTGATTGCCACGCTGGTCAGCAGCATGGCCACTGTCACTGTGAATTGTACCTCGCTGGCCCGGCCCGAGTCGATGTGGATGAAGGAGATCACACCCAGGAGGCAGCCGCACCAGAGGTGGGTGACGCTGGAGCTGATGTCCACCAGGCCGAAGTAGTAGTATAGCATCCCACAGAAGGCGAACAGGAACAACCCGCAACCGCCGATCACCACCAGCATCATGTCGCCCGTGTGGATCCAGCTGGCGTAGAGGCCCGAGGTGACAGCCACGATCAGGATCAGGTAGTCCAGGTAAGCCAGCATGTGCAAGGTGCACTTGAGCTTACGGCTGCGCTCCATCGTTCTCAAGGGCAAGGCCAGGAGATGGCTAAACAGGTAGCGAACAGAGTGCATTGATGATCCCAAGTCAATGCCCTTCAGCCTCACTTGCCACTTGCTGACCAACCTTCAGATGCANTTAGCCAATGCGTGCTAGCATCTGCCAGTCGAACCTGTAAAATACTGAAGTTAAGAATACGCACATCATTTTCAATATTAATCTAAAGTGAAAATAAGGCTGTTACTGACTTCAACTATAAGAAACCACACCTTCTTAAGTGAAGTCTCAGTAGGCTTGTTACTAGTTATGCCCAGGCCATGTCCAATCAATTTAATTTCATAATATCGGGCCTGCCATAGAAACACCTACAGGTAGGGATATGAATAAACGAGCAAGGGTGCTGTTTATTTGAAGACTCATTTTCTTCAATAGGAAACTGTGATTAAAATTCGTCTTTTTTCCATGCTGTAGCTCGTTTATTTAATTTCCAATTTCAGAAGTTTAGAAATTTGAAGAAATAAGGCACAAATAAGAACAAAGATTTTACAGGAACATCAATTTTAAGCGTTTTAGTTAAAATCCACACTCATTTTGTGTACAAAATAATCACAGTTTGCTCTGCATTACACGTGTACAAAGAAATCTCAAAACATACCCACTTCAAATAGATTTTTCTTTGCTTTGCAGAGTCTGATGGAATCCAAATTTAAAACGAATTTTGTTACGACATCCTCTTCAAGATAACATCAAAAATAAAAAGGAAAAAATAATTCAAAAATTTATTAGCCTCCCTAAACAGGTGTAGGTAGTCCCAACATTGGATTATTATCATGATGTACTGATGTACATCTATCATGATCTAGCCCCAGTCACCTGCGAGTAAACAAGGACCAAAACTCACCTTTTAAACATTTATTCATAAATAATAATAAAGTAATCGCGTCTAATTAATTATAAAAAAGCAATCTGTACTTTTTTTGGGAGGGTCATATTTTGTAGTGTAACCTGCGTTCCAGATAACCTTAACCCCCGCCACGTCCTGCTACTGCAAGTGAATGTTTCACTTCAGTGCGGTTTTATCAGAGTTTGTAAGTAGACTGACCAACGGCTAGTAGATAATTTCTGAACGCTTTAATCTCATTGTAACAGTGAGAAGATACGGTCGACACGGATAGTGTGCATTATTTCACTCAAGTTCTTTATTTTGGTGTTGCCACAAGAAAAACCCCTGGAAGGAGGCTGCAGTGCAGGAAGTAAAGGCTGCAGACAGTACATGTGATATGAAGGCAATTTACTCGCGAAGCAGGGGCAACAGCTGCAGCACCAACAGCAGCAAATGGATGCCCTCATCAAGGCCCTCAGTGACAGACCACGGGGGTGGAGTCAGCCGCAACCGAATAAGACTTGCGAATAAGACTTTTATTATCGCTAGACAAACGAGACTGAGTTGAGGACACTTCAGCATGTCTGCACAACATGTTTGCACAACATCGCTGGTCTCTACAAGCAACTGTCAATTAACCATTGCATGACCCCTGCATAACGATCACACGACGCGCGTGGGCTCTCCACATCCGCAGAATAAAACGCGCACCTATCTTTCAACTACAGTAGTACAGATAACCAACAGGTGCTGAACCTGGAGCCCAGCAACAAGCAGGCCGCCTCAGAGATTAATAGAAGACACTGAAGAACAGGGAAGAGACGGAGAGGCAGAAACGAGAAGGGGTGTACAACGTCATACAGGCGGTAGAGAAGGGGCAGGTTCAAGTGACAGCAGCAAGTTGATTTTCCTAGGTAACCCTGCGCACAAAATCTATTCTGGGTTCCATGCAAAAATCGACCTGTGGTTGACAGATGGTCACCGCTCGAACCTATCTCTCTTTAAATTGACAGTGCACTAAATTATGCACTCGTTTGCGTGCACATAGGGCAATGTCCATCGTGTGTATGTATGCCTTTTTGGGGGGAGCACTGTGGAAAAGTTGAGGCTTGCCACTGTGCTTTAATTATTGACATCCTACACAGTGATGGACTCGTTTAATATTCCGAGGGGTTCATTGTCAAAATGTGATGAGTGTATGACTTCCTGCAGATTTTCCAATTTCTCAGTATCTCATCCAATTATCAGTTTGTTGCACTCTGGTCTTTCAAGAAACCTCTGAAAAGAATGGTGATTGAGGAGATTGGAGCTGGAAGTGGTGACGAGGAAGATGACAGTACCCAGACAGG